CCCCCCCCCCCAAATATGTATGGAGTTCCGCTTTGTGTCGAGATAATAAATCCCAGTCCAACTCAAGGCTCGCTTGCAAGTCTGGTACATGCCAGGAATGCTGTGGATGTCGCGCGCCTCCATTTCAGTGAGTCCTTTGGAAGGTCCCCACAAAAGTCCCACAAAGGAAAGGTGGGCAGGGCCAAGACATTCAGGTACAGAAAATAAGTATTCAGATTTAGAATTTGCAGTGCTTTCTGAACAGATCTGTTTTCCCTTTTATGAAGTACAGATGAATTATTATTTTCTCCAGGTTCCAGTGTAAACAACACACATTACAAACAGATTTATGTAAATGGGTGGTGTTCAATGTTGTCAATTTTTTGGGCTAAGCGGACCCCATTAGGGGACTTGAACCGCGGTTTAAGAATGCAAACTAGACAAGGCTCCAGTGAGATAGATTTGTAATGGGTTGACCAACCAAACCTTGGGTGGGAGGGGGGATTCTGTCCATCGGCTCCTCTTCTTCTTCCATTTGGAAGGAAGTGGTTATTTGGGCGCCATGTAGAGTGTGGTTTTGGGCCCAGGCCTATTCCATGTCTTTATCAATGACTTCTTTGGATGGCTGAATAGAAGGCGTGCGGACCACCTTTGCAGATCACAGAATCATAGAATCAAAGAGTTGGAAGAGACCTCATGGGCCATCCAGTCCAACCCCATTCTGCCAAGAAGCAGGAAAATTGCATTCAAATCACCCCTGACAGATGGCCATCCAGCCTCTGCTTAAAAGCTTCCAAAGAAGGAGCCTCCACCACACTCCAGGGCAGAGAGTTCCACTGCTGAACGGCTCTCACAGTCAGGAAGTTCTTCCTCATGTTCAGATGGAATCTCCTCTCTTGTAGTTTGAAGCCATTGTTCCGCGTCCTAGTCTCCAAGGAAGCAGAAAATAAGCTTGCTCCCTCCTCCCTGTGGCTTCCTCTCACATATTTATACATGGCTATCATATCTCCTCTCAGCCTTCTCTTCTTCAGGCTAAACATGCCCAGTTCCCTAAGCCGCTCCTCATATGGCTTGTTCTCCAGACCCTTGATCATTTTAGTCGCCCTCCTCTGGACACATTCCAGCTTGTCAATATCTCTCTTGAATTGTGGTGCCCAGAATTGGACACAATATTCCAGATATGGTCTAACCAAAGCAGAATAGAGGGGTAGCATTACTTCCCTAGATCTAGACACTATGCTCCTCTTGATGCAGGCCAAAATCCCATTGGCTTTTTTTGCCGCCACATCACATTCCTGGCTCATGTTTAACTTTTTGTCCACGAGGACTCCAAGATCTTTTTCACACGTACTGCTCTCGAGCCAGGCTATTGTCCCCCATTCTGTATCTTTGCATTTCGTTTTTCCTGCCAAAGTGGAGTATCTTGCATTTGTCACTGTTGAACTTCATTTTGTTAGTTTTGGCCAATCATCTCTCTAATCTGTCAAGATCATTTTGAATTCTGCTCCTGTCCTCTGGACTATTGGCTCTCCCTCCCAATTTGGTGTCGTCTGCAAACTTGATGATCCTGCCTTCTAGCCCTTCATCTAAGTCATTAATAAAGATGTTGAACAGGACCGGGCCCAGGACAGAACCCTGAGGCACTTGTCACTTCTTTCCAAGATGAAGAGGAAGCATTAGTGAGCACTCTCTGTGTTCGTCCACTTAACCAATTACAGATCCACCTCACCGTAGTTTTGCCTGGGACCCAATTGGGAGACGAATGCCCCAGAGGACAGGACCAGGATTCAAAGTGGCCTTGACGGATTAGAGAGCTGATTGGCCAGAAGTAACCAAGTGGATTCCAACAGGGAGAAATGTGCAGTGTGCCACTTGGGCCATACGAATGAAAGGCACCGATAGAGGAAGGGGACACTGGTCTTGAAAACTGCCTTCCATGGGAAAAGGGATCTAGGCGTCGTCATAGAACACAAGCTGAAAATAAGACACTGTCTTATATTTATTTTTCCTCAAGAAGACACACTATGGCTTATTTTCAGGGGATGTCTTCTTTTTATTAAATACTAGCCATCCCCTGCCACACGTTGCTGTGGCCCACTCTGGTGGTCATGGGGATTCTGTGTGGGAGGTTTGGCTCAATTCTGTCATTGGTGGGATTCAGAATGCTCTGTGATTGTAGGCAAACTATAAATCCCAGCAACTCCAACTCCCAAATGTCAAGATTCTGTTTCCCCCAAACTCCACCAGTGTTTACATTTGTACATATTGAGTCTTCGTGTAGAGTTTGGTCCAGATCCATCATTATTTGAGTGCACAGTGATCTCTGGATGTAGGTGAACTACAACTCCAAAACCAAAGGACACTGCCCACCAAACCCTTCCAGTATTTTCTGCTGGTCGTGGGAGAACTGTGTGCCAAGTTTGGTTCAATTCCATCGTTGGTGGGGTTCAGAATGCTCTGTGATTGTAGGTGAACTATAAATCCCAGCAACTACAACTCCCAAATGACAAAATCAATTTTTTTTTGAGTGAAGGACATACATTGGGTTGTTAGGTGTATCTTGTCCAAATTTGGTGCCAATTCGTCCAGTCGTTTTTCAGTTATGCTCATCCCACAAACGAACATTACATTTTTATTTATGTCGATGGTACAACAATCTGCATTTCTGGGATGATCTTTCTGGGCTGAGGAGCAGACTGCTTGCGGAAGCTTTTCCCCTACTTATCCCCTGGTGTTTGTGTGGGGCGAGAGAGACCCACAGACTGTTGCTGGTTTGTGCTGGGGGAGAGAGACCCACCGCACTGAGTAAAACAGCAGCCACAGCTTTACTTCTTCCCCCTGAGGATGCACAATACCTCAAGCAGAGTGTCGGGAGTCCATTTCTGACGGCATGAAGACATCACAAATTCCCTCCGTGACTTCCTGGCTGAATCCATTCTCTCTCTATGACATTTTGAAGCCAGGAGAGGGTGCTGGAAACCTTGTATTGTAACTTGTGAAGCAACAAATTCTAATAAGGAAACTGAGAAGCGGGGAGATGGGCAGGAAAGGTGTATAAAAGGAAGTGGTGGTGGGGAAAAGTCAGTAGTGTCTTTCTTTGCTGCAGAGATACATACAATATATCAATTTCAAAGCAAAACCAGCTTGTGAGTGGTCATTTAATATTGCTAGATAGATCCTACAGTGCCCTGCACCTCACTTCACTGAGGAGACTTTGACTTTTGATGTCTCCTTCGGTGCCTCCACTTGCAGCATGCATAGAATGACCGGGACCTTATGGGGCGGCCAACCTTGTACGCTGCATAGCCACACCTATCGCCATGTCTTATTTTTGGGGTGTGGCTTATATTGTGCAAATGCTTAGCCATCCTGCTACGGCTCATTTTATGAGTGTGTCTTATATTCAGGGAAAGAGAGTAGTACATTAAATATAAGAGTATATAAGGGATAGCCAATAGTCCAGAGGACAGGAGCAGAATTCAAAATGATCTTGACAGATTAGAGAGATGGGCCAAAACTAACAAAATGAAGTTCAACAGTGACAAATGCAAGATACTCCACTTTGGCAGAAAAAATGAAATGCAAAGATACAGAATGGGGGACAATGCCTGGCTCGAGAGCAGTACGTGTGAAAAAGATCTTGGAGTCCTCGTGGACAACAAGTTAAACATGAGCCAACAATGTCTATCGGTGCCTTTCATTCGTATGGTCCAAGTGGCACACTGCACATTTCTCCCTGTTGGAATCCACTTGGTTACTTCTGGCCAATCAGCTCTCTAATCCGTCACGGCCACTTTGAATCCTGGTCCTGTCCTCTGGGGCATTCGTCTCCCAATTGGGCCCCAGGCAAAACTACGGTGAGGTGGATCTGTAATTGGTTAAGTGGACGAACACAGAGAGTGCTCACTAATGCTTCCTCTTCATCTTGGAAAGAAGTGACAAGTGGAGTGCCGCAGGGTTCCGTCCTGGGCCCGGTCCTGTTCAACATCTTTATTAATGACTTAGATGAAGGGCTAGAAGTAGGATCATCAAGTTTGCAGACGACACCAAATTGGGAGGGATAGCCAATACTCCAGAGGACAGGAGCAGGATTCAAAACGATCTTGACAGATTAGAGAGATGGGCCAAAACTAACAAAATGAAGTTCAACAGTGACAAAAGCAAGATACTCCACTTTGGCAGGAAAAACGAAATGCAAAGATACAGAATGGGGGACAATGCCTGGCTCGAGAGCAGTACGTGTGAAAAAGATCTTGGAGTCCTCGTGGACAACAAGTTAAACATGAGCCAACAATGTGATGTGGCGGCAAAAAAAGCCAATGGGATTTTGGCCTGCATCAATAGGAGCATAGTGTCTAGATCTAAGGAAGTAATGCTACCCCTCTATTCTGCTTTGGTTAGACCACATCTGGAATATTGTGTCCAATTCTGGGCACCACAATTCAAGAGAGATATTGACAAGCTGGAATATGTCCAGAGGAGGGCGACTAAAATGATCAAGGGTCTGGAGAACAAGCCCTATGAGGAGCGGCTTAGGGAACTGGGCATGTTTAGCCTGAAGAAGAGAAGGCTGAGAGGAGATATGATAGCCATGTATAAATATGTGAGAGGAAGCCACAGGGAGGAGGGAGCAAGCTTGTTTTCTGCTTCCTTGGAGACTAGGACGCGGAACAATGGCTTCAAACTACAAGAGAGGAGATTCCATCTGAACATGGAAGAACTTCCTGACTGTGAGAGCCGTTCAGCAGTGGAACTCTCTGCCCCGGAGTGTGGTGGAGGCTCCTTCTTTGGAAGCTTTTAAACAGAGGCTGGATGGCCATCTGTCAGGGTTGATTTGAATGCAATATTCCTGCTTCTTGGCAGAATGGGGTTGGACTGGATGGCCCATGAGGTCTCTTCCAACTCTTTGATTCTATGATTCTATGAGTGGGAGTGTTTGCCTTGAGTTGAGGAGACAGAGAAGCTGGCTGGCCGGCCCTGGTTGAGGCGCAACGGAGAAATCAAAATAAGAGACCCACAAAGAGCAGCAAAATTCATAGATTTTTTTTTCTATTAGACAATACAATTTTCCACAATTTTACTTACAAAACCACGACCCCTTTGGGGTTCACCTACGCCCAGCACCGAAGGGGCGCCCGCAGCACCTTTTAGAAAACAAAAAGGCAAAACCGGTTTGGGCGGCCGTTTGTTTTTAAATCTTTGTCCGTAGGCGACCAAGAGATCATTAAATTGATTTCCTCTTTTATTTTCCTAAGCACCAGAAACTCTGTTTTCTTATTTCCTTTCTCTTAAAATACTGTTAAAATGTGCAGCAGGAGACCAAAAAAAATAATAGTCTTTTCCTTTCTCTCTCTCTCTCTCTTTTTTAATATCCACTCCTTTAAATAATATAATTAATTTAATTTTTTCTTTCTTTCTCTTATAAAAACAAAATAGAAATACACAGTCTTCTTTCTCATCCGGGGGGCGGCGTTACGGAGAGAGAAAAACGGATCCCTTTTTGTGGTTTGAATGCGGAGAGATGGCGGGGGGCTTCTCCGAAATAGATCTCTGCTTTTTGGGGAGGGGGGATTAGTCTTAAACGGCTGATTTGGCCAAAATAGGAAGATGTAAATCAGCAGGAATGTTGGGAAGTGTTTGGGTTGAAAGGGGGTTGCTCTCTCTGAGGTAGGGAGGAGATAGCACCGAGCGCAGGGCCTTTGGGAAGGACCTCAGTGGGAGGCAAGCAGAGCACGAGCCAAGAAGGCGCTGCAGCAGCGGAAAAGGCCAATGCGATTCTAGGCTGCATCCAAAGGAACAGAGTGTCTAAATGGAGAGAAGTAATATACGGTACGGATAGAGAGCACCTGCCTATCTAGGATAGAGGAGTCTTGGGAGAGCACAAGCTGAGCGGCAGGTAAACCAATGTGATTCTAGGCTGCACCTGTAAGAGTATAGTTTCCAGATCGAGGGATGTCCCAGTCCCACTCTTGTTTTGGGATGTTGAAATAACAAAGATTGGAGGGGGTCTCATGTGGGGAAGAGGGCTGAGCAATCCTCCCCCTTTGTGGGGGTCTCCTCTCTTGGAACTGGGGATGGGGAGGGTGTCTTTTAAATGGCTTTCTGAGCATGCAAAGCAGGTGCCGGGGCAAGCGGGAGGGCAAGACCCACTGGGGATTCTTCTGTTGTGGCCAAAATGCACACGCAATGCAATAGAGATCTGTTTGGTGTCCCGATGTCCGAGTCTCTTTGGTCGGTCAGCTGCCCCCATCTCCCCCAATATGGCCATCACCACGGCGACGGGGCCCTCGGTCTTGGTTGGTGGTGGTGGGTCCGTGGTGATGCTCCGCGGCTGTTTCGAAGGCGGAGGCCGGGGGTCGCGAGGGTCCGGAGGGGGTCCCTCTTCATCCCAGGAAGCAGACCGGTCCCACCTGGAATCCGAATTTCTGGCCGGGGCTCCCAAAGTCCATCAGGCGCACATCCAAGAGGGGCAGCTGCTCCACGCGAGGGGTGAGCACCTCCAGGACCGTGGAGCTGGGGCCCTTCCGGGGCTTTGGGGGTGAGAGAAAGAGGGAGGAGGGAGAAAGGGGAAGGGCTGTCAGTATGTGGAATGCGCTTCTGCCTCGGAGTCCAGCAGAGTCTCCTTCTCAGGATGGATGGACATCTGTCAGGAGGGCTTACTTTGTCCCTCCCAACCCTGTGACTCTACTATGCTATGACATGAACGGGAAATGCATCCTAGATCAAAACTGCCATATATGGCGACCGCAGCCAGAAATCCTGGAAATGGACTCGGGGATTTTCCAGGCTGTGCAGGTCCCCACGAAAGATGTTTGAATGGAAGACATCTTGGAAGGCCATGAGAAAACTTCCACTACAATTCATTACCTGTCACTGTGGATAAGGGTAATTCCTCGTTGGGGCTGTAATGGTAGAAGCATAATGTACCTGTCTCTGGTTTTTCTCTTTCATTAGCATTTGGAAGGCTCTTTGTTGTTGTTTTTTGTTAGTGTTTTGCAACCTAATTAATCTGTATTGCTTTACATAGTTTTCACCTTAAGTTATATATGTGTGCACGCATCCTTCTGTATGTTCAGTCATCCCTCTGTCATCCCTCCAGATTTGATTATTCATAGATTGGAATAAAATACGATTGTGAGGAATCTCCCAGTCAGTTCTCTCGTGCAAATTCCTATCGTCATGGTGGAGGACCGAGAGAGAACTCTCCTTTAGTTCTTCTAGTGTGACCCTGTGTTCAACTTCCACTACTGAAGGACCAGGAGATGCCTAGAGAGAACTACTCTCTCGGTAGCCCGTTCTATCCCCAATGCTTTTTAATATTGACATGAAACTGCTGGGAGAGATCATTTGTAGACATGGGGTGCAGTGTCTTCAGTATGCTGATGACACCCAAATATATTTCTCCATACAGGCAGATCCTGCGTCTTGGGGTTCAGTCTAAACCAGGCATTGGCTATCCAGATGTTTTGGACTCCAACTCCCACAATTCCTAACAGCCTATCAGTGGTGCAGTGGGTTAAACCCTTGTGCCAGCAGGACTGAAGACCAACAGGTCAAATGTTTGAATTCGGGGAGAGCGCGGATGAGCTCCCTCTGTCGGTTCCAGCTCCCCATGCGGGGACATGAGAGAAACCTCCCACAAGGATGGAAAAACATCAAAACAACCAGGTGTCCCCTGGGCAACATCCTTGCAGACAGCCAATTCTCTCACAATGGAAGCGACTTGCAGTTTCTCAAGTCGCTCCTGACACACACACACACACACACAAATCAGCTGCTAGCAATTGTGGGAGTTGAAGTCCAAACCACCTGGGGGGCCAAAGTTTGCCCATGTTTGACTTAAATCATCCAGTGTGATTTTATGTTCATATTCCAGCAGAAGGCAACCACGAAGTCATGCCAGGAAACACAGACTTTCCTAGACAGGTGTTCTTCCAACTCCCCAAATGCTCCATGCCCTGTGTCCAAACCCTAGAAGAGGTGGAGGGCAGACTGCGTATACTTCTTCCTGTCTTTCTCTTTTGGTCTCCCTTCTAAGGTGGCGATGGAGGTACCCAATAAGGCGGAGGAGGGGGGTACTCACCGCGCATCCGTCAGCCAGGGCCTTGACGTAAGGGCTGTTGTCATAGCTGATGTCCTCCTCGTTGGCCCCCATGAAGCGCAGGGCCTGCTGGTAGCCCCCCACCGAAGTGGAGGACCCTCCGGTGGCAGGGGGTAGGCGGCTGTGCCAGGCGGCCGATCGGAGGCAGTGGTAGGTGAAGTTCTGCCGGGCCGAGACGCTCAGCAAGCGCAGGAAGGTCAGCTGCACCACCCCCAGCGGGTAGCCCTCGGCGTCCTCATAGGAGAACTGCAGGCCCAGGGAGAAGGGGAGGCAGGTCAGGAGGGAGCACCCCTTGCCCCTCAGACCTATGATCCCCATTAGCCCCATCTAAGACCCGGAGGGCCGGATCAGGACCCAAAGGGACCTCCTCAACAGAAGGGAGAGAAAACGTGTTTGACACTCAGGCAACAAGATAGGATGGGGGACACCTGGCTTGGTAGTGGCTGGTTGGGAGCCCCTGTCCAACAGAAGGGGGTTGACTGGATGGCCCCTGGGATGCCCCTTCCATACACTCACCCGGCTGCCACTCTGGAACCCACTGAACCAGGATTGGGGCGTTTCTTCCTCCCAGGCGGACATCGGTACCTGTGGAAAGAGAGGGGGACTGCTGTGACTCTGGTGAGGTTCGCCGAACTGGGGACCAATGTCCTGTGCACAGACGGAGCTCATGTAACTTCTTCCCAAACTGCAAGTCCCAGAATCCCCCAGGAACCCTGGCTGATACAGCCACAGGCAACCCCACCAATCCTGGAAGTTGTAGTTTAAAGAGGAAGCTTTTTCTGAGGTCCAGTCCCAACTTCTATCATCATCATCATCATCATCATCATCATCATCACATTATTATTATTATTATTATTATTATTATTATTATGACAGTGAATTGGCAGCCATGGGGATTGGTAGATACTGGACAACTGTAACTTCTGGTTGTTTGAGAATGACTCTTAAATTATTAAAAATAGTTCTAACTCTGAATAATAATGATAATAATAATAATAATAATAACAATAATAATAAGCCATTAGAACAAATGCCATCAAAGCCAGAATTGAAAAGCCGACGACAGATCCCAAAGGTAAACTCTGAAGGAAGTAGATGAAACAATAGATCCCATCCTCAGCTGCTGCAAGAAGATTGAAGCAGACAGACTACAAGCAGAGGCACAACACCGTTGCTCAGGTGATTCATTGGAACTTGTGCCACAAACACCATCTGCCTGCGAACTGGTGGGATCACAAGTCGGAAAAAGTTACAGAGAATGAACATGCCAAACTCCTCTGGGACTTCCAGATTCAGACAGACAGAGTTTTGGAGCACAACACTCCTGACCTCACAATCGTGTTAAAAAACAAAGTATGGATAAGTTACACATCAGTAATTATGATGGTGATGATGATTGTGACAATAATAATAATATAGGCCTGCTGTTGTGAAGTCACACATCATCAATAATAATAATAATAATAATAATAATAATAATAATAATAAGCATGATTTTTGTGAAATTGTACATTGGCAACAATAATAATAGGCCTGCTGGTGTGAAGTTACACATCAATAATAACAACAACAACAATACAAGTAATAGGCCTGCTGGTGTGAAGTTACAGATCAGCAATAATAATAATAACAACAACAATAATACAAGTAATAGGCCTGCTGGTGTGAAGTTACAGATCAGCAATAATAATAATAATAATAACAACAACAACAGAGTTTTGGAGCACAATGCTCCTGACTTCACGATTGTGTTAAAAAACAAAGTATGGATTGTCGATGTCGCAATCCCAGGCGACAGCAGGATTGAAGAGAAACAACTGGAAAAGCTGACACAATATGAGGATGTAAAGATCGAACCGCAAAGACTCTGGCACAAGTCAGACAAGGTGGTCCCAGTGGGGCTCGGCACACTGGGTGCAGTGCCTCAAGACCTTGGCCTGCACTTAAACACAATCAGAGCTGACAAGATTACCATCTACCAGCTGCAGAAGGCCACCTTACTGGGATCTGCATGCATTATTTACCAATGCATCACACAGTCCTAGACCCTTGGGAAGGGTCCGACGTGTGATCCAACACAACAGCCTGCAGAGTGATCTTGTCGGCTGTGGACTCATCTTGTGTTTCAAATAATATTAATAATTTCTTTGACTGTCTTTTTGCTTGAGAGTTCCAGTCCCTTGAGTTCCAGTCGACTGAGAGCCTACTGTATTAGTTAGTCAGTCAGTTAGTAATACATACAGCTCTTGGTTGCATTTCAACCAAGTGATAAAAGAGAGATATAGTTATAAGGATGATTATCACAACGATTTAGCTTTTTCCTCTCCTGCCTTTTGGGCCAGTGATGGTCATCCTTGGCTTCTCTTTGGGGGGAAAGAGCAAGTGGCCAAGTGTAGCCCCTTCCCCCAAGAGCCCATTTCCTCTTCTTCCTCTTCTTCCCCTTGTCTTTTCCTTCCTGTTTTCCTCGTTCCTTACCTCCCGGACCTCCTTCCTGGGGAACACGCAGGTCTCTCCTCCGGCGGTGAAGTTGCAGAAGACCTTGAAGGAATCCCTGGAGCAGCCCTGGTTGGGATCGATCCAGTATTCGCCTGTCAGGAAAAACACACCCGTAATCTCTATTCCGATCCATCAAACCACTTAAGAGCCTTTGTGCTACAAACCAACATACATACTTGGACTTATAGACATATACATATACATACAATGGACCCTCAGTATCTGATGGGGTTTGGTTCCAAAACCAAAATCCACAGATGTTTCCCGCTCTATACGTATTGCCTTCTATAAAATGGCAAAACCAATATTAGACTGGGTTGTTGTAGGTTTTTCCGGGCTATATGGCCATGTTCTAGAGGCATTTTCTCCTGACGTTTTGCCTGCATCTATGGCAAGCATCCTCAGAGGTAGTGAGGTCTGTTGGAACTAGGAAAAAGGGTTTATATATCTGTGGAATAATGACCAGGGTGGGACAAAGGACTCTTGTCTGCTGGAGCTAGGTGGGAATGTTATATTAGACTTTTGGACTTATTTCTTGAGGCTGAATACTTTTAAGACATAGTTGGACCCATGGATGCAGAACCCATGGAAACCAAGAACTGGTTAAATATAAATAGAACATGAATGTTTTCCCAAGGTTTGAGACCTACCACATTTCTTGCAGACTCCACATTTGGCTATTTTGTATCAACAGCTTTTTTTCTACATGGAAATTACTTTTTCTGTGCAGAACGTTTTCTGTGCAGAATTTTTCTGTGCAGAAATGTTTTCCCCGTGAAGACATTTTTCAATGTCCCTTTCTTCCAGGGTTACCAAGGAAGAGGAGGAATCCCCACTGTTGAGGATGGCTTCCCTAGGCATTAAAGCCAATGCCCCCTTTTCTCAAGGGGTCCATGTGGGGGTCCACCCACCCCCAGGGGTCTCTGGGCACTCTGCCTATGGCACCCACAGCCCATGATACAGTGGCTACAATGGCTCCTCCATCCATCCAGGGGACTGAGTGGGAGTCCACTCAATGTCAGGGGTGTCCTGGTGGCATGTCTCTCCCACTCAACTCTAGCCATCAAAGCCAGTGCTTCTTCCCCCAGGGGGATGGGGGGGGTCATTCATGGTTGGGGATCCCCAAGCCCTTTGCCTATGGCACCGAGTGGCATGTGTCCCACCCCCAACCTATGATACAGTGGTTAAAATGCCTTCCTCATCCACCCAGGGAACTGAGTGGGGGTCCACCTACCATCAGGAGTCTCCCCCCAACACATGGTAGGTAACCCAAATGGCTTCCTCAGACATCAAAATCAATGCCCCCTTTTCTCAAGGGACTCATGTGAGGGTCTCCGGGCCCTTTGCCTATGGCATTCTCAACTCATGATAGAGTGGCTACAATGGCTCCCCCATCCATCCCGAAGACTGAGTGGGGGTCTACCCACTGTTAGGGGATTCCTGGTGACAAGTCTACCCCCATAACTCTTGCCATCAAAGCTATTGCCCGTTTCTTTCTTGGGACCAATTTAGGGGTCCACCCACCGTCGGGGGTCTCTGGGCGGCTGAGCCAGAGGTCCTGGCAGGTGCGGGCGGGGCTCTCCTTGGTGCCCAGGGGCTTCCGCATGTGCTCCACTTCCTGCCGCAGGGAGTTCAGGGACCCGTAGACCTCCTCCATGCCCTGGGAAAGGCGGTGCCCTCCTGCCTCCGAAGCCGCCATCCTCTCTTCCTCCTCCTCCTCCTTCTCCGGAACAATCTGGCTGCCATCAACCGAGCGCTTGTTCTTCTTGGGCCTCTGGATGGGCAGCGGCTGGATGACCTCTCCTGGGGGGCCCTGGAGTTGGGGGGCAGAGGAAAAGGGTGTGAGGGAGACAAAAGCCGGCCTGAGTCCCTCTTCAGAGGTCGAGAAGACCGGGTTAAAAAAGCTCGAAATAAATAAATAAATAAATAAATAAGGCAAGAATGGGCCCCACACAGGGTGGGATGCAGTGGGGTCAAGGGGCACAGCCCGGATTGCCTTCCCCCTCCCCGCTCAAAGCAGGGACCATGAAGGGAGAGGCCATGGCTGGTGGTTGGGAGAGCAAGCCGTGAGCATGAGCCTTGGGTGCAAATTACAGCAAAGTTGTGCTTGCATGTTTGGGTAAATGTCTCACTTGATCACAAATTAAAGGAAAAATCGAAAGAAGAAAGGAGAAGGTGAGAGAAAGAGAGAAAGGAAAGAAAGGAGGGAGAAATGAAGTCAGGTGGGTGAAGGAAGGAGGGAATAGGAAAGGAAAGTAAGAGAAGAAAAGGAAGGAGAGAAAGGGATGGAGGGAGAAGGAAGAAGAAGGGAGAAGGAGGAAAGAGGAGAGAGAAGAAGGAAGAGAGGAAGGAAGGGAAGGAAGAAGTAAAGAAGGAGAAAGGAGAGAAGAGAGGCTAGAGAAAGGAAGGAAAGAAGGAAGGAAATGAGGGAGGAAGAAGAAAGGAGGCAAGGAACAGCTGGAGAGAAGAAGGAAGGAAGAAAGGAAGGAGAGAAAGAGAGGGAAGAAGGGAGGGGGAGAGGATGAGAACAGGAGGAGAAATGAAGGAAGCACAGAGGAGAGAAGGTGAGAGAAAGGAAGGAGGGAGAGACAGAAGGACTGCAACTTCCAGAATCCCCTGTTTTCAAGATCTCCTTTCCGCAATGAAGTGTGGAGAGGGCCTTATCTGGGGGGTGAGTTGGAATGAAATCAGTGTTGGGGGATTTACCGGATGTCCTGGAGGTCCGTTCACTCCGCGCTGACCTTTAGGTCCTGCTGCACCCTAGAAAAAAAGACAGACAGAAAGAAATCCCACGAGGTTAGTCCTCTTGAGAGGGTCTTCCACCCTGATATTCACCTCTGAAGGACTGAGTGGGAGGGGGGGAAACTTACGGTGGCTCCTTTAGCTCCTTGGGGTCCGGGGGGACCCTAGAAAAAGGAAATGCAGGTTAGTGGGTGCCTCTGGAAAGGGGAGCAAAGGGGCGGGGCCAAGAGGAGGGGGTCCAGGGTGACTCACAGGCAATCCGGGAGGTCCTGCGGGGCCAATGGGGCCGGACGGGCCGGGGATTCCCTGCAGAAGGAGGAAACGGGGAGGAAATGAGTTCAAGCAGGAAACAGTCTACGGCTATTTCAACCTCGAAGGACATCCCAAAGTGGAGGCAGAGGCGGATGGGCCAAAGCCATCAACAAAGAGCCCTGTGACCCCCAAAGACCAGCGCATTGCCAGCAGCGCATGGATCGCCACCACTAGTTAAAGCATTTGAGATCCGTCTCAGGCATAGGGTTCCTGCTTCTTCCAGACCTGATGACGGCCGCTGTTTGTGCCGCTCGTTCCTTCCCTGCCTCAAAACTCACCGTTTCTCCTTTGGGGCCCTTGGATCCATGGGGACCAGGGAGGCCGCGGTCCCCCTTCTCCCCTTGTTCTCCTGGGGGTCCGATCAGGCCAATGAGGCCGGGGTGGCCCTGGTTTTAGGAGAGAGAGAGAGAGACAGGGAGGGGAAAATGAAGGGTTATGAGGTGGATGGTGGGCAGGTGGACCAGACTCAATCGCAGAACCCTTCTGTAATGGATGCACGCATGAAATTGTATGACTGGGGTCTGGCTAGGGCCGATGAAGGCCTGGCACGATTGAAGATCCCGTCCTAAAATTAAAACCTGGAAAATGGCATTATGGAGGCAGTGAAGAATTTGATTAACTTTGGCATGAACAGTGTTGCTGAAGAAGACTGATGAGAATTGACCTGAGATCTTTTGGTGTAAACAATACATGTTTACATAGTCAGAGACAATGACTCTTTCAGTTCTGGAACTGGTGTAGCTCTAGCAAGTCTGGGATGAATGACAGGTTATCTAAACAACCTAAGAATGTATTGTCGAAGGCTTTCATGGCCGGAATCACTGGGTGGTTGTAGGTTTTTTCGGGCTATATGGCCATGTTCTAGAGGCATTCTCTCCTGACGTTTCGCCTGCATCTATGGCAAGCATCCTCAGAGGTAGTGAGGTCTGTTGGAACTAGGAAAAAGGGTTTATATATCTGTGGAATGACCAGGGTGGGACAAAGGACTCTTGTCTGCTGGAGCTAGGGGTGAATGTTTCAACTGACCACCTTGATTAGCATTTGATGGCCTGGCAGTGCCTGGAGCAATCTTTTGTTGAGAGGTGATTAGATGTCTTGATTGTTTCCTCTCTAAGAACACAGAACACAGAAATGCTGGACCACTCTCACAACCACCATAGAATCATAGAATCAAAGAGTTGGAAGAGACCTCATGGGCCATCCAGTCCAACCCCCTGCCAAGAAGCAGGAATACTGCATTCAAATCACCCCTGACAGATGGCCATCCAGCCTCTGTTTAAAAGCTTCCAAAGAAGGAGCCTCCACCACACTCCGGGGCAGAGAGTTCCACTGCTGAACGGCTCTCACAGTCAGGAAGTTCTTCCTCATGTTCAGATGGAATCTTCATGTCAGACTACACAGAGGGGCCATTGAAATCCACAAGAAGCATGTGGACAATGTCAACAGAAAGGAGGAAACCATGGAAATTAACTACCATACATCAAGGGAACCACTGACTGCATAGGGAAGCTGATGAGGAAACACAACATACAAACTATCTACAGACCCACCAAGAAAATCCAACAAATGCTCCATTCAGCAAAGGACAAGAGGGATCCTCTCACTTCTGTAGGAGTGTACCATGCAGCTGAGGACAAGAAATCTCCATAGGGCCCACCAAACACAGCAGCATTGCCCAAACACGAATCAAGGAACACAAAAGGCACTGCAGACTCCTTCAACCAGAGAAGTCAGCCATAGCAGAGCACCTGATGAACCAACCTGGACACAGCATATTATTTGAGAACACAGAAATGCTGGACCACTCACAACCACCATGTCAGGCTACACAGAGAAGCCATTGAAATCCACAAGCATGTGGACAATTTCAACAGAAAGGAGGAAACCATGAAAATGAACAAAATCTGGCTACCAGTATTAGAAAAACTCTAAAATTACAACAGCACAACAACAGAGAGGAAACAAACAAGGACATCTAATCACCTCTCAACAAAAGATTGCCCCAGGCACTGCCAGGCCATCAAATGCTAATCAAGGTGGTCAGTTGAAACATTCAACAGACAAGAGTTCTTTGTCCTACCCTGGTCATTATTCCACAGATATATAAACCCATTTCCCTATTTCCAACAGACCTCCCTACCTCTGAGGATGCTTGCCATAGATGCAGGCAAAACATCAGGAGAGAATGCCTCTAGAAGATGGCCATATAGCCCGAAAAAACCTACAACAACCTAATAATAGATAACCAAAAATTGCTAGACTAGGAGACGCTTTTTCTCTTGCAAAGTGTGCCAGACCTGCAGGAATGCCGCATTCTGAACACCCGCCTCCTTCCAAGAAGCCTGATGGGCTGAATGATGAAGAATGGTGAGTACGAATGCTGAATGTATGGGTGATGAGTGAATGTTAAAAGTATATGTGATGTTTCCCCTTTTCATCTACGTAATCAATATACCTGTGTGTCTGTGTGTCAGCTTCTTTCTCTGAAAGTACCTGACGCACTCCGTCCCACTGAAAACGGATGAAAGAACATCAAAAAAGTATTTCTGACACTTCTCTGGACTTGTCCTATCTTGCCCATCTCCTTTCTGAATGGTGTTGCTGGACACAGGGCTATTGTTCCAAGTGATGCCTGACCAAAGGACAGAATAAAGGGTCACTATTACTTTCCTCCATCTAGACTTCTTTCTATGGATGCTGCACCACATTGTTGACTCATGTTCAGCTCGTGGTCTCCGAACACAGACTCCAAAATGAGAGACTAACTCAGACTGGGAGCGGTGGTCTCACCTTCTCTCCCTTGGATCCGACGTCCCCTCGCAGCCCAGCCAATCCAGGGGGGCCCTGCGGAGAAAAGATAGACAACAACAGCCTTGGCGTTTGCCCCATTGGTGGCACCCACCCTTGACCCCACCACGACCCCTTGAGGTCGGACACTCACCACTGGCCCCGGAGGGCCTGCTTGGCCTGTCTGTCCCGGCTTTCCTTGGGCTCCCTGAAAGAGAGAGAAAAGCATTGAACACTCGGTCCTTAGAGAAGCATGGATGCAGGGGATGGTGGGCTACACTATCCCTCTTTCCAGCCACTAGTTCTTCCATGGGAAGCATGACTAGGCATCGCCAGGACCCCCTTTGCTCTCTACTGGTGGTCGTGATCTGTCTCAGGCAAGGGCAAACTTCAACCCTCCTCCAGGTGTTTTGGACTTCAACCTTGGGACTTGGCCACAGTAGTCCATGCTCTGGTTACATCTCGTATAGACTACTGCAATGCTCTCTACATGGGGCTGCCTTTGAAGACTGTCCAGAAGCTTCAAATGGTCCAACAGACGGCAGCCAGATTGTTAACAAGAGCACACAACTCCCCTGCTGCACCAGCTCCACTGGCTGCCAGTCTGCTACCGGGCACAATTCAAAGTGCTGGCTTTAGCCTACAAAGCCCTAAACTGTTCTGGCCCAATCTACCTGTCTGAACCTTTCTCCCCTTATGAACCATCTAGGACCTTAAGATCATCCAGGGAAGCCCTGCTCTTGGTCCCACCTTCCTTACACGTACGGTTGGTGGGGACGAGAGACAGGGCCTTCTCAGTGATGGCCCCTCGACTATGGATCGCCCTCCCTAGGGAGATCAGATCGGCTCCCTCCCTCTTAAAGTTTAGGAGACAAGTTAAAACATGGTTGTTTGAGCAAGCATTTACAAATGCAGAGTAACTGGTATCGGAAACCGAATGACTCGACGAGGGAATTGGACAATGTTTTTATAATAAGGAGACGCTAATGATGATGTTTTTATTGCTTCTGTTGTGTTTTATATTGTTTTAATGTTTTAACCTGTATTATGATATTATGTGTACTGATTTGTTGTAAACCGCCTTGAGTTGCCGACCGGCTGAGAAAGGCAGTATACAAATACAGTGAATAAATAATAATAAATACATAAATAAACTCCCCAAATTCCTAACAGCTGGAGTTGAAGTCCAAAACATCTGGAGGAGGGTCGAAGTTTGCCCTTGCCTGATCTACTTGAATTTCTCAAAACCACCTGGGCCCATAACCTATTGGGATGCATTCAGTGGATAGATCTCTGGATTTAAGGAGCAAGTGGGCATCGCTTTGAGAAGGGAAGCTAATCTTAATTCTAGGAACTCCATTGCTCATGGTGCTGATCTAAGCTAACTGCATCTTGGAAGGACGAGAGAGGGATCAAGGAAGGAGGAAAGGCAGAGAAAACATCACCATGAAGAGCATCTCTTTGCATCACAGAGGAAGCAAGAGAGCCAACAAAGAGGGAGGGGGCTTCCAAACTTATGAGGCACTTCCAACGCATCCCACCTCCAACCCCAGAGGCACCCCCATCCCCAGGTGAGTCCAACTTTCATTCCTTCCTATAATAACCCTCTCCAAGAGGAACGTGGCTGGGGATGATGGGGCCTGTTGTCCATCATAGTGGCTTCCCCAAGCCCTCCCTCAAGCCACACCCTTCCCTTCCTACTACGTAAAAGTCCCCTCCTAAAAGGCAGGGCCCTCCCAATACCTTCCCTGCAACAGTCCTCCACCTCCATCCCAAACCCTTATTGGTGAATGCCCCACTTCAACAGAGTCTCCCCACCTCCCTAAGCCCAAGCCTAAATGGGGGACCATGGCACCCAGTCCCTATACAGCAGGGGCCCCAATGCATTCCCTGTAGTGCCCCCCCCCCCACTTCTGCCCCAAGCCCTTCAGCACAGTTCCTTATAACCCTGATTCCCCCCTTCTGGGGGGGTGGCATCTGGTCCTTTCCCCCATATGGCAATGTTCTCTCCACAGCCATCCACCCATCCATCCTTCCACCTCCATCCTAAAACTTTATCCCTGGAGACCCTACTGCAGCACAGTCTGCCCATCCCTCAACTGAGTGGCTGTCAGGAGTCAATTTCTGACGGCATGAAGACATCACAAATTCCCTCCATCCTGACTGAATAATCCTTGCTGAATAATTTTGAAGCCGGCCGAGGGCGCTGGAAACCTTGTATGGGAACTTGTGATGCAACAAGTTCTAATAAGGAAACTGAGAAGAGCGGGGAGATGGGCAGGAAAGGTGCACAAAAGGAAGTGGTGGTGGGAAAAAAGTCAGTAGTGTCTTTCTTTGCTGCAGAGATACAAGCAATATATCCATTTCAAGGCAAAAACGATTTGTGAGTGGTTATTTAATATTGCTATATAGATCCTACAGTCTTACAGTGAGGGACCCCAGCATCCAGTCTCTGTCCCCTATTCGGTTGTTCCCCAATGCTCTTTCCACAGTGGTTCCCCCACCTCTACTCCCAAAACATTATCAGACCCACATTTCAGCATAGTCCCCCTTACCCCTAATCGCCCCTCTTGGGAGGGCAGTATCTGGTCTCTATCCCCTATATGGCAATTTATTTATCGTGTTATCCGCAACCAGAACATTGTATTACATTTCTAACAGAACAAAACAAACAAACAGATAAGAAAAAAAACACAAATTTTGCAAACTTGGTAGCTGATTAAATGTCCTTTGACCAGTATCTGGCCACTTGGAGTGCCTCTGGTGTTGCCGCAAGAAGGTCCTCCATTGTGCATGTGGCAGGGCTCAGGTTGCATTGCAGCAGGTGGTCAGTGGTTTGCTCTTCTCCACACTCACATGTCGTGGATTCGTGGCAATGCTCTTAATGCTCTATCCACAGTGGCCCACCCCACACCACATCCATGTCCAGCTCCCAAATATTATATTATATTATATTATATTATATTATATTATATTATATTATATTATATTATATTTCAGCACAGTCCCCTCCAAAGTGAGTGGAAGACCCCAGTGTCCAGTCCCCGCACCCCAAATATGGCTGTGCCCCCAATGCTCTCCCCACAGTCATCCATTCCCCCACCTCCCTCCCCAAACCCTTATTCCTGGATGCCCCACTTCAGCACATTCCCGCCCAACACAGGAAGTGGAAGGTCACAGCATCTGGTCCCTGAATGACCATGAAGTAGTGCCCCCCAGATTTCTCCCTGTAGTGTCCACCTCACATCCATCCCTATCTCCAGACACTCAATTCTGGTACAGTGCCCACCCTCCATTTCTAAGTGAGCCTACCCTCCATTTCCTCCAAGTCCCTCAAAAGGGGAATTCCCTAGTATCTAGTTCCTCTTCCTCACCACAGATGCTGGGAGACCTTCCTGCACCAAGCCTCCACCCCCTGACCCTTATAACTGGACACCCTACTTCAGCACAGGGCCCCCATCCCCCAAGGGATGGGGGACCTTAGCATCCAGTCCCTGTCCCCTCATTTCGGTTGTGCCCCTAATGCTCTCTCTGCAATAAAGCCTAGATGTCAGGTATGGCCATGCGAGGATGTGAGGGACAAGGGGCCCTCAGACAGGCACACACACAAGACAGGACAGTGGGAGGCTACCACTGTATATTACATTATTCTTTGCTGCCACCAATTTATTATTAAGGTTCTTTTTGCTGCCACCTTTTATTGATTCACAGGCCACCTCCTTCACTGGAATGTTCAAGAAGCCACACAAACTCTTCCGGTGAAATAAAACAAGAATATATTGTTTATATTTGGTTCTCTAACAGTACAGATGCGTAGTGGTTTCAATAAGCTGTCAGGCTTTACTGTTACAGAGAATAGTTCTATAACTTGAGCTTCTTAAAAGCAATGCACAGGAATACAAACAGGATATTTTGAACCTTTTCAACCCTCTTTCCACACCAGCACTCTAAAACTATAGAGGCTCACTAATACTTCTTATTCCTTCTCCTTAAAGGTTTTAATAATTCTCCTCAAAGAGGTATTTTGCTAACAAACAGTTCCCAAAATTCTTCTTTCCTTCCCCTTCAAAGCTCCTAACTCTTCCAACACCAAACTCCCAATTGGCAATTATGGCTGCCTTAGCTCCTTCCTTTCCCTATGGCTCCGCCCATCTCCAGTTGCTAAACAACTCCCTCCAATTTCATTAGCCAATCAGACCGCACTTCCAGCTATGAAACTGCCTGATCACTCCAATCCCTACTCTCCTTAGCTTTTCCAAGCCAGGCCTGTCTACGGCCTTTACACCAACCCTGTAAGGTAGACCAATCTGTTACACTCTCCCTACAGTGGTCCCCCCTCCTCCAGTCTCAAAATCTTATCAGCACAGTCCCCCGTAACGTGAATTCCCCCCTTGAGGAAGGTGGCAGGGTCTGATCCTTTTCCCCAATATTGCAGTGACCCCAGTGCTCTCCTCACAACCATCCATCCATCCCACTTCCATGACCTACTTCAGCACAGTCCTCCCCCCCCCCACACTGCTCAAGGGAGTGGGGGAGCCCAGTGTCCAATCCCTGCATCCCCACAATATGGCGGTCCCCCTACCACCACCAAACTTTGGACCCACACTTCAGCCCCCCAACCCCAACTGCAGTCCCCGCCTCCCCATTCAGTTGTTTCTCCAAAACACTCCCCTCAGAGGTCCTCCCCACTTCTTTATCTCCAGGGGCCCTATTGTTCCCCAAAGTGAGACTACCCACAATCCCCCCCCCCGTGAAAGGGGACCCCCCTCCGGAGTCCAGTCCACCCCTTTTCCTCACCACTGATCCTGGGAGGCCCCTGAGTCCGTCCGTCCCTGGCTTCCCCGGGGTCCCCTGTGGCCCCACGGGGCCCGTCTTCCCTGGGGGGCCCACGGCTCCTGCCTCGCCCTGGAAAGAAACACAGGAAGAGGGGGAAAGGGTTTCAAAGGAATGAAATAAGCCAACCAATAAACAAGGAAGTAAATGTTTCAAGTAGTTTTATCGGTCAGCCAGACTGGGACGAAGCCCACATATAACGTCAGTCCACCCATCAATGTTTTCAGGTGCTTTTGAAAAGAACGACCATTGCATAACATTTTCATATTTTACCTTTGCATTGTATGAGTCTACATTGTCCATATGATGGCATTTCAAACTGCACTATATGGCATTGTAGATAGGGACATAGACAAAGATTCTAATTGATCACAACTTATAAATGAACATTAATGACAATAATAGCAAGATATAATAGCGACCCTCCTTAGAGCTGCGTTGAAATGGGCCCTAGAGGCCATCTAGTCCACAGTCCAGAAACCCCCCTGCAACCTCTGTTTTAATGACCTCCAGTAAACGTGGCCTTTAAAAGTGATCTTGGTGGCTCTTAGTCCTTGGTTGCCCAGTGTTTCTTCCTCGTCCGGATCAACCCTTCCACCAGGTAAGAGATTAGTTGTTTACCTGTTGGGGAGGCTCACCTTTTTGCCTTTGCCGCCTTGCCTTCCTTCGGGGCCAGGGCTTCCGGCGGGGCCCTGATGGGAGAGAGAGAGAGGGAGAGAAGACCCGAGTTGAAAGGCTCTTTAAGCAGATGCAGAGCACTGGTTCTCCTTCCTGGTATTGATGTCAGGATATTCCTGTGCTGCCCCTTGACCTCTTCCGTGCTGCCTTTCCGCTCCTGCCCCCTCTGCTCCATCATCTGGCCTTAAGAGACTTGAACCCTTTTTGAACAGCCTGGTATTCCTGTGCTACCTCTGTATCTCTTCTGTGCTACCTTTCCCCTCCTACCTCTTCCACTTTCTCCTCCCCAAAACAAGCTTTGTTTACTTTCTGGGAGAAAGAAAACCAAGGCAAAGTAGACCCTGCTCATAGGGCAAAAGCAGGACCCTGTCTTCACAACTCACCCTCTTTCCTGGGGGGCCGGGAGGTCCATTCTCTCCTGTTACACCCGGAGAACCCTAGAAATGCAAAGAGAAACAAGCAAGATATAAATAAATATCTCAACAAGATAAGGAGCCAGACCAGGGTGAATGGGGGCCCAGACTTTACCTTGGCAAAAGGGCAGTGGTTACAGTATGATTCTGGAGAACCAGGTTCGGATTCCCCGTTTAGACATGGAAACCTACCAGGTGACTCCGGGCAAGTTACACACTCTCAGGCCCAGAAAATGCAGTGATAAAGTTACCTTAGAGTCGTCATCATTATAATTCAGAAATGACTTGAAGGTACGCAACAACAAACAAACAACAACACACAACAACAACAATCTTATCCTCTTCCAGCAGTCACCAGCCAATCTCTCTCCAATGCCAATGCTCCTCCACGATGACATGATGGCAACAGTCTTGGACAGCAATAGCTCCCAAAGTGACCCATTAAAGGTGGAACCAGGGGTCAAACAGGGATGATGTGTTATTGCCCCAATTTTATTATCCATCTTCATTGCTATGATACTTCATCTTGTTGATGGGAAGCTTCCCACCGGATTGGAAATCATTTATCAGACAGATGGCAAGTTATTTAACCTCAGCAGACTGAAAGCCAAAACCGCATTGAGTCGCCTGTTTGGGCTGAAAAATGCGGTATAGAAATAAAGCAAATAAATAAATAAATAAGGTTACAACACCATCTGTTATAGAACTTCAGTATGACAACGTCATCTGTGCACATTCATAAGAAGACCTACAAGCCACTCTAAACACCTTCGCAGAAGCATATGAGAAGCTCGGCCTGTCATTGAACATCGAGAAAACCAAGGTGCTTTTCCAGCAGACGCCAGCCAATCCCTTTCCAATGCCAGAGATACAGCTTCATGGTGTCACATTAGAAAATGTTGACCATTTCTGCTCCCTTGGCAGCCACCTCTCCACCAAAGTCAACAATGACACCAAAATACAACACCGCCTGAGCTCTGCGAGTTCAGCATTCTTCCAAATGAAGCAGAGAGTGTTTGAGGACCAGGACATCCGTAGGGAGACCAAGGTGCTTGTTTATAAAGCCATTGTCCTCCCAACCCTGCGATACGCCTGGAAAATGTGGACTGTCTACAGACGTCACATGGAACTCCTGGAACGATTCCACCAGCGCTGCCTCCGGAAAATCCTACAAATCTCTTGGGAAGACAGGCGGACAAATGTCAGCATGCTGGAAGGAGAAGCAAAGACCATCAGGACTGAAGCGAAGGTCCTCTGCCATCAACTTCACTGGACTGGCCACGTTGTCCGAATGCCCAATCACCATCTTCCAAAGCATACTCTACTCCGAACTCAAGAACGGGAAATGTAATGTTGGTGGGCAGGAAAAGAGATTTAAAGATGGGCTCAAGCCCAACCTTTAAAACTCTGGCATAGATACCAAGAAATGGGAAGCCCTGGCACTTGAGCGCTCTAGCTGGAGGTCAGCTGTGACCAGCAGTGCTGCAGAATTTAAAGAGGGACAAATACAGGGTGAAAGGGAGAAACATGCCAAGAGGAAAGCGTGTCAAGCCAACCCTGATCAGGACCGTCTTCCGTCTACCGATGTCCTCACTGCGGAAGAATATGTGAGTCAAGAATAGGGTTTCACAACCACCTGCGGACCCACCGCCAAGACACTTCATCTTGAAGACAATCATCCTTGAGCTACGAGGGATTGCTTAACTAACTAAAACTACATATCTAGCTTGTGGTCTCCTAAGACTCCTAGATCCATTTCCCATGGGTCATTTCCAAGCCAGGTGTGCCCCATCCGATATCTATGCCAAAACGCTGCACTCCACCTTTCTCACTACTGAAATGCATTAGGCTACTTTTGTCCAATCAGCTCCCCAGTCCATGAAGATCAATGTGGAGATCTCTTGTTTTTAGGGTTCAGAATGAGTGGAAGCAAACAAATCTCCAAATCAAGCCACTGTCAGAGGGGTTAGGTTTGGGTGCAAATGCAGGTAGAAATCCCTCAACTACAACCTGCCTTCATCCGGAACCAGGACACTTACCGCTTCTCCGGGCTCCCCATCCTCTCCACGCTCGCCCTTGGCACCATCTTGGCCCTGCAGAGGAGGAGGATGAGAGGCACCATGGGCCCTCGGTCAAGGCCCCAGGGCCACAAGAAATATAATGTGCAGATTTGATACATGTGGATTTGATATGTGTGGGTATGAATGGAATTGTATGAAAGATGAATGAATCATAGCTAATAATTTTGGAGACACCATTCTAGAATATTTAGGCCAGCAATGACTAACTACCTGCTTCATGGATTGTAATTAAAAGTTGCTAATGAGAACTGAAAAAGTAAACTGTGATAAGAACTGTGGCAATGATAAGAGAAATGTTTACATCTGTCAACATTTGCCGGATTAACTCTAAAGGAAATGATCTTTGTTTACATTAGTCAAAGACAATGCTCTTTCAAGTCAAACCCAGAACACAATGATTCGTTACCTGAAGGCAAAAGGTGAAGATTCAAGATCATTCCCACAGGACAATTATTTACAACATCAGCAGAATATTCCTATAAAAGACTCAATCTAATAATTCTCAAGTGTGACAGACAGCAGAGCTGTTCATCCGTCATGCTCTGGTCCATGGTAAGGACAGAGATGGTGAAGGCCTCCTTTTCACAAGGGAAGAGGAAGGAATGTGATTTTGGAGTTTTGGATTTTGTGCAAGGAGCCAGGTTCTACTGTGTGGAAAACAGGGACCTGATCCTTGGCATTTTGGTGTTTTAGAAGCATTTTGGCATTATGGAAGTTTTGGAACTGTGCGTTGGAGGGTTCAAGGAAGCAGGGTCTGGTTTAACAGGTGTTCATCTCCAGGAGATGACGGAGGAAGAGTGGTGATGTATGCATGAGAAAGAACGCATGTTTATAAGTGTGTAAATATTGAGTGAAAATGTAAACCTCTTTTGTCTGTTTGTTAGCCAATGTAATCGTTTGTGAACCCAATGTCATTGCATAGAATCTGTATGCCTGTATATCCAATGTCATTCTTTGTAAAAAGGTTGTTTTGAAAAAGTTCTGATACCCTTTCGCTCACACAGGAAATTGCAATAAAAAGAACCAATGCTTTAAAGTTATTGAAAAGTAACTGGGGGAAGGGGAGGGCCGTACTCACCCGCGGCCCCATTCCGCCAGGGGGTCCAGGGTCTCCGGGAAAACCAACGGGACCCTAAGAGAAAGAGAAAGAGAGAGAGAGAGAGAGAGAGAAGAGGGAGAAAGCCATTAGTTACCACAAGTAACAGCGAACCTTACTGGAATGAAGGACTTCGGGTCCAAGAGCAAGAGGATGGGATGGTGAGTTTTAAATGTTATTTTAGTTGCACTTATTGTATTTTAACTTTATATCCATTCACAAATATATCAATGTTTTCAAAAAGCATTGTATTGCCTTTTATGTTCTCCTATTATCTTCATTTTATCTGTTATTCCTTTTAAAGTCACAGTTGTATCGTCGGCAAACAGGCTAATTTTGTCAGTTTCGTGTCCTATCCCTATTAATTTATCATCATTTGCTAATATTTCTATTATGGTTGCAAATAGTATTGGTGACATTCATGCCTAGTCCCTCTCGTTACATTTAGAATCAGAGAATCCTAGAGTTTGAAGAGACCTCATGGACCATCCAGTCCAACCCCCTGCCAAGAAGCAGGAATATTGCATTCAAAGCACCCCTGACAGATGGCCATACAGCCTCTGTTTAAAAGCCTCCAAAGAAGGAGCCTCCCTCCACCACACTCCGGGGCAGAGAGTTCCACTGCTGAACAGCTCTCACAGTCAGGAAGTTCTTCCTAATGTTCAGATGGAATCAGTTCTATCAGTTACTCCATCATTCACTAACACCGGTATATAACTGTTGTATTGCCTTGTAAATAAATGTTATTAGATTGAGTCATATGATTGTTAGCCACTTTCAGTCTCAATGGGGAGGAAGGTGGGACAGAAATAAAGTTAACCATAGCAATAATAATAATAATAATAATAATAATAATAATAATAATAATAATAATACTATGTAACAAAATTTGGGGAAAAATCTGTTCCTGGTTTGAAACTGTTATTTCCTGTTTAATTGTGTGGTACTTTCTTTGATGTCCCTCCCACCAAAACAAAGTTTTTGCAGTTTGATCAACTTTTTCCATGTTTCAAAGGGCCGGGCTTTAGCACAGCAGGTTAACCACCAGCTGCAGTAAATCTTGTCAATCGAAAGGTTAGCAGGTCAGGGTGAGCTCCCGACCTTTAGCCCAGCTTCTGCCTACCTAGCAATTAAAAAAGCAAATGCGAGTAGATAAATAGGTACCATGTTAAAGCGGGAAGGTATTAAGGGTACCCATAAGGAAATGCCAAAAAACACTGGCGATTAGATCAAGAAGGAAGCTTACGAACAAAGCTCTTTGATGGAGGAACGTAGAGTGACAGCACCCCCCTGTGGCTGGAAACAAGCACAGCCTCCAAGATGCCAAAGATGGGAAATCATATATAGACACCTCTATCCATGTACAGTTGTCTGTCTTGCCAATGTATAATGGCCATGTATGTGTTCTGTGATCCCCCCTGAGTTCCCTTTGAGGTGAAAAGGGTGGAATATAAATACTGTAAATAAATAATAAATAATTTTATGATTGAACCAATTAGGAAATTTACAACCCAGGAACAACATAGTGTAATACGGTATTTAAGGTTCTGGGAAAATGGATATTCAACCTTTATTATTGGTCGAATATCACATAAAATCTGCCTCCTGTTTCCAAACGCTTATAAAGAAGTAACTTCTTTTGCCTGCCGCAGTTCTACTTGAGAAAGGCCTGCTGATGGGCTCTTTGTGGGGACAATGAGAAGCATAGGATCCTAGAGTCGGAAGGGGACCCCAGGGGCCATCCAGTCTGCCATTAGGCAGGAAAAGCACCATCCAAACCCTCCTGCCATCTGGCCACCCAGCCATCCTCTCCCCATTGCCGGTGTCACCATTTCCCCCTTCCCAGCACCCCTTTGTGGGCCCCACTTACAGGGTTTCCCTTGGGTCCGTCGTCTCCGGTGGGCCCTTTTCCGCCCGGCGGTCCAGCAACTCCAGCAGCTCCGGGTTCTCCTTTCTCTCCCCTTTCGCCTCTGGGGCCCTGAGAGCACAGAAACAGAGAGTTACCACAGGGGAGACACTATCTGCCCCCTTGTAATGTAAAACCCTTAGATTCCCCCCGCACCCATCCAATCGTCTTTGCTTTCTTTGCTGCAGCACCACACTGCTGCCTTGTGTACAAACCGCCCCACTCTTCTTGAAAGGGGACATTTAATAATGAGGGTGACTAAGCTCAACTGCTCTTTATCAGCCTCAGTTCTCCATCCCTCTATTCCAGCTCTGGATCTGCCCCAACGCCCCTTCCTTTGGAGGCTGCACTTCCACTGATTGAATTCTGCTTTGCCTTCTTTGCTGCAGCGTCACACCACTGGCTCGTGTTCAGCTATTGTTTATCGCCCTTGCTGCTCTCCTCTGAGACTGCTCCAACTTCCCTTTATTTGGAAACGATGCAGGTCCAAAGTATATGTCTACCTGGGGCAGGGCCGGCCAAAACCGTAACCTTGGTCTTGGAGGAACTTATTGAGAGATATTCCTCTTGGCAGTAGGTACGGAAAGCCTTCAGAAGGTTTTCAAGACCCAACCAAAGGGGGAGATGAGGACTAGGTCATCTGCGTACAAGCACCAGGACTGTGGCGCAGCTGGCTGGGAGTCAGCTTCATTAAGATCACTACTGACCGAAAGGTCGTGAGTTCAAAGCCAGCCCAGGTCGGAGTGAGTTTTCGACCAATTTGTTTAGCTTGTCGTCAACCTTTGCAGCCTGAAAGACAGTGGCAACTGTCAAGTAGGAAATTTAGGTACCACCTATGTGGAGAGGCTAATTTAACTAATTTACGAGGCCATAAAAATCTACAGCAAGCATGCAAAGAATGAAGAAGTACTTCATCAGTGTCACAAATGGTCGGTGAAGAGACAGCTCCCCTGGTGGCCAGAATACCCTCATGAAAAAAACCTGGATTGTTAAATAGCCTCTGAGCGTCTTCCTATATATGTTGTGTGTCTATGGAGTCAGTCTGCGCGATCTTCCTGCAGCAGAGGAGGATGGGATCTATTGTTTCATCTGCTTCCTTGCAGAGTCTACATTTGGGATCTGTCGTCAACTTTTCAATTCTGGCTTTGATGGCCTTGGTTCGAATGGCTTGTTCTTGGGCTGCCAGAATCAGGCCCTCCTTGGTCTCCTTTTTCAGAGTTCCAGCTGTGAGCCACAGCCATGATGATGATGATGATGATGATTATTATTATTATTATTGTGCTGTCATGCACTGAGCCTATAGCAATTGGCTTTTGAACAGGACGTGCTCTTTGTGCCCAGCAGGAAGCCGGGGTGCCTTGAGCGAGAGGCCCTAAGGATTTTCCTATACAGAGTCTTTAAAAGCTTGACAAGTTTAACAAAGTCCTTTATTATTGCTTAGATCTTCAACAAAACAATCAAATACTTCTCAGATCTTCAACAGGTCAAACAAATACTTCAAGGCTTTGAATCAACTGGTGGCTTTCTTAATCTTGTCCACAAGGGACAGGCAATTGGCTTCGTGAACTGTTTCTTTTCTTTAAGAGGAAAACCCTTTTTAACCCCTCCTTGGGCAATCTACTTTCTAAACTTTGCTGGTGTGGGCTCTACTCCTGACTCCAAACTGCTTCTTGGGTCCCGAGTAGACCTACCAGTCAAGGCTTTGTAGATTCTCCAGCTGGAGTCCTTTGGAACTGTTTTCCCCCCGGAATTTCGTAAGAAACGAAGCTTCTCTACAGGTGGAGCTGATTCACGTCCTGTAGCTAAGCTTTCAACTGAAAGACTGATCTAAAATGGCTCCCTTTCCTTCCTGAACCCTGGGGAAAGGGGCGGAACTAAAAAACCCAATGATGATAGGCAGGTGGCTGTAAACCAAGGGAAGCCACCTTATTGCAAAATGCTTGGAACTTTGGAATACATGCAAATACTCAAAGAGAGAAAAGGAAGTTGGAGCTCCTGGTACAGCCGTACCAGCACAATTATTATTATTATTATTATTATTATTATTATTAAATTATTATTATTATTATTATTATTATTATTATTATTATTATTATTATTATTATTCAGAATACAGTGGGACTATTACTTCCCTCTAATTCAGTGGTTCTCAACCTTGCTAATAACGTGACCCCTTAATGCCGTTCCATATGTTGTGGTGACCCCCAACCATAATATTGTTTTCGTTGCTACTTGATACCTGTCATTTTAGTACGGTTATAAATCGTAATGTAAATATCCAATAAGCAGGATGTATTTTCATTCACTGGACTAAATTGAGCACAAATACCCAATATGCCCAAATGTGAATGCTAGTGGGGTGGGTGGGGGGGGATTGATTTTGTAATTTGGGAGTTGTAGTTGCTGGGATTTATAGTTCACCTATAATCAAAGAGCATTCTGAACTCCACCAGTGATGGATTTAAACTGAACTTGGCACACAGAACTCCCATGACCAACAGAAAACACTGGAAGGGTTTGGTGGGCATTTTGGGAGTTGTAGTTCACCTATATCCAGAGGAGCACTGTGGATTCATGCAATGGTGGATCTGGACCAAACTTGGCACGAATACTCAATATGCCCAAATGTGAACACTGGTGGAGTCTGGTGAAAATAGACCTTGACATTTGGGAGTTGTAGTTGCTGGGATTTATAGTTCACTTACAATCAAAGAGCATTCTGAACTCAACCAACATTAGAATTGGGTCAAATTTCCCACATAGAATCCCAATGACCAAGAGAAAATACTATGTTTTCTTATGGTCTTTGGCGACCCCTCTGGCACCCCCTCACGACCCCCTCAGGGGTCCCGACCCCCAGGTTGAGAAACACTGCTCTAATTGATCACTATGTCTCTTTTAAAGTATGCTGAGAGAGTGTTTGCCTTTGTTGCTGCAGCACCCGACCCCTGGCTTGCGCTCCTGGCTGCCCATCTCTGGCCTTACTCCAACTTATCTCTGTCCTTTATGGTGTGTGCATGTGTTAAGAAACAGGTAAAGAGTGGAGAGATGCGTACCTTTCCACCGGGCTCCCCGGTAACCCCTGGACCCCCAGGCTCCCCTGGATCACCCTGAAAAGAGAAAAGCATGAAGAGAAGGAGGCTGTTAGTGGGTCGGCCCCCATCAGAGTCATTGGCCTCCTTTTACAATGATAGGTGCCAGATCAATGTCGTTTTCTGGTTGCTTAGGAGTCATTATTCAAAACAGACCATGCTATACCGTCCCAACAACTCTGCATTTACGTTATATTCCTATTGAAATAGCCATTAATAACGAATTAAGACAAACTTGATTGAATGGAAAACAACTTTGGGATGGCGGTGTGCATTTTAGTTAAATGGCGTTGAAAATATTATTTCTTATAGATATATGAATATATATAGACACACAGACATACACACACACAGACACACAGACACACACACACACACACACATATCTATCTATCTATCTATCTATCTATCTATATATGCCTTTTGCTTGAGAGTCCCAGTTGCATGAATTCCGGTTAATGGGGGGTCTACTGTAATTAATGGAATATATATATATATATATATATATACACACAACCATATGGGGCAGCGGGTGAAACCACTGAGCTGCGGAACTTGCTGACCGAGTGGTCAACAGTTTGAATTCATGGACAGGGTGAGCACCTGCTGTCAGCCCCAGCTCCTGCCAACCTAGCAGTTCAAAAACATGCATATGTGAGTAGATCAATAGAGACCCCTTCGGTAGGAAGGTAATGGCGCTCCACGCAGTCATGCTGGCCACATGACCTTGAAGGCGTCTACGGACAATGCCGGCTCTTCGGCCTTGAAATGGAGATGAGCACCAGAGTCCCAGAGTTGGACACAACTAGGCTTAATGTCAAGGTGGAACTTTTACCTTTGTATACAACCATTGTACACATAACGCGTTTGCATTTAAATGCAACTTGAATCAGACACGGCGTCGACTGACTTAGACCTACAATTGCAATGCACCACAAATAAGCCGGAAGGGACCCCTAAAGGCCATGCAGCCCAACCCCTTTCTGTTGGGCAGGAAGGCACAGTCCAATCCCTCCTGGCAGACGGTCACTCACCTTCTGTCCTGGAGGACCGAGGTTCCCGATACCTCCGGTGGGGCCTTGCGGACCCTGCAAGGAACAAGAGAGAAGGAGACGCAGCCGTTGATATATCAATTGATTGGCGGTTATCGCCAAGGGCACTTCCCCCTTTGTCTTGCCATCAATCAATAATTAGTTATGACCCAAAATTGAATTTCAGAGTTGGAAGGGACCCCACCCCCCTCGCTGCAAAGCCATCCAGTCCCACCCAGGCAGGAATGCACAACCAAATCCTTCCCGATAGATGGCCATCCACCCTCTGCTTGTTTTCTCTAGACTTAGGATTGAGTCACCAAGCTGAGAAGAAGCTTCAATAATATACTATGACTTGTTTTGTTGAGAAGCTGAGAAAGTAAACCCGAGTTGCCTTGTTTGGGGAAAACAGAAAGCAATCAGAGGCGTCTCCATTGGTTGTCATAAGGGTTTGGGTCATTATATTATTGAAGCAAGAGCACAGGTAGGCAATGGGTCAACGGGGGTGTCACTCACGCTTGCTCCGGAGGCTCCGGCGGGGCCTCGGGGTCCGGGGGGTCCTGGTGGTCCCTATGGATGGAGAACACGTACGTGTTAGGAGCATGCCTCTCAGCCCTTTCTCTTCACGGCTCAAGGCTGAGATCCCCGGGTCCATCACATCCTACTGTTGGGAGGGGACCTCCCAAGGCCATCTAGTCCAACCCGCTTCCAACGCCCCGGGATCCACAGCATGAGCCTTCCCGATAGAGGCCCACCCAGCCCGTGTTTCAAGACCCTTGGGAAGGAGACAACACTTACCAAAGGCCCCACGTCTCCAGTTTCGCCCTTCTCCCCAGATGGACCTGGCATGCCCTGTTCAAAGGAAGAGAAAGCCCTCAGGAGTTATATAGATAGAGACTGAGAATGGGGCCCCAAAGGACATCTAGTCCAACCCCATTCTGCCAGGGACAGCCCTCCCCAAAATAGAAGTACCCCAACCTCAAACCCGCCAAAGGAAGTCGATTCGACTGTAGAGCTGGTCTCGGGATTGTAGACTACAGTCACAGAAATACAAAGCTGGAAGGGGTCCCCAAGGGCCATCTAGTCCAACCCCATTCTGCCACCCTAAGGAAGAGGACCCAAACCTCTATGCAAAGGTCTTCAAAGACACAGAGTCCACAGCCTTTCAAGGGAGTCCAGTCTGCTATTAAACTGGTATATTATTATTATTATTATTATTATTATTATTATTATTTGAAACACAACAAGATGAGTCCACAGTAAACAAGATCACTCTGCTGCTGTTGTATTGGATCACACGTCGGACACTTCCCAAGCGTCTAGGATTGTGTGATATATCGGTGAATAATGCGTGCAGATCCCAGTGAGGTGGCCTTTTGCAGCTGGCAGATGGTAATTTTGTCAGCACCAATTGTGTTTAAGTGCAGGCCAAAGTCTTGAGGCACTGCACCCAGTGTGCCCATCACCACTGTGACCACCTTGACTGGCTTGTGACAGAGTCTTTGCAGTTCGATCTCTAAATCCTCATATTTTGTCATGTTTTCCAGTTGTTTCTCTTCAATCCTGCTGTCACCTGGGATTGCGGCATCGACGATCCATACTTTGTTTTTTAACACAATGATGAGGTCAGGAGTGTTGTGCTCCAAAACTCTGAATCCAGAAATCCCAGAGGAGTTTGACATGTTCATTCTCTGTAACTTTTTCCGATTTGTGATCCCACCAGTTCTTTGTGGCAGGCAGATGGTGTTTGTGGCACAAGTTCCAATGCATCATCTGAGCAAGGGTGTTGTGCCTCTGCCTGGAGTCTGTCTGCAGCACGATCTTCTTGCAGCAGCTGAGGATGGGATCTCTTGTTTCATCTGTTTCCTTGCAGAGTCTACACTTGGGATCTGTTGTCGACTTTTCAATTCTGGCTTTGATGGCCTTGGTGGTGGTGGTGGTGGTGGTGGTTGTTTTGTTGTTGTTGTTGTTGTTCTTCTTCTTCTTATTATTATTATTATTATTACTATTATTATTATTATTATTATTATTATTATTATATTTTAAAAGTTCTTCCTAATAATTTGGTGGGAAAAACTCTCCCCAAAGAGACCCCTCCAACCCCTATTTGAAGGCTTCCAGAGGCAGAGACCCCACCATTCCTACTTTTCAAAGAGTTCTTTCTACTGTTTTGGTGGAATCTCCTTTCTTGCCATTTGAATCCACTGTTTTGTGCTCTCACTGCAGGCAATGCGGGCTCCCCTTCTCTATTAAAATGCAGAGATGGCTGTCCTGCCTCCTGGGGTCTTCAAGAGCAACCCTAGTTCTTGCTAAGCTCAATTCCCACTCTGCCCAACACTTCCTTGCTCCAGTTTCTTTGGAAATTAAGAGTTGGAGAGGGCCCCTAAAGGTCATCCAGACCAGCCTCCTTTGGCCAGGCAGGAAGACTCCCTTAAGGCCCTGAAAGGGAAGAGAGCAGCGTCTCGTAGGACCGATTTCCAGGACTCACCTGCAGCCCGATGGGCCCTGGAGCCCCATTGAACCCTCTGGTCCCTTCGTCGCCTTTGGCCCCAAAGTGTCCCTGGGAGCCCCGGGCCCCTGGCTCTCCATCGGCACCCTGAGAAAGAGGAGGAGGAGGAGATGATACAATCAGGGGAAGAAACAAGGGGAGGAAGCCACCAGGGCTCAGGGTCCGCGCCCGCCTTAGAAAAGAGCCCTGGGCATATTTTTGAGCTGCCAAAGATCTTCTTGCAGGGTGAGTCTCGCTTCCTCAAAATACTTGCAATACAGTAGAGCCTCAAAGGAGGATAATTTTGGATTTTGGAGTATTTCAGATAAAAAATAGAAATATGGCTTAGATTTTGGAATTTTGGGATACTCAACCTGTAGTAGTATTAGCATCCGTAGTAGTAGTAGTAGTAGTAGTAGTAGTAGTAAGTTGCATAATATACATATTTTGGGTTGCCGAGGGGCATCTTGCTTTGCATGCCTGGTGCCTTGAGGCTTTACTCCTGGACATGATGCCCCTCTTTTATTTTATTATATTTCTTTGTTACGTTTTCACGTTAATAATAATAGGATTCACATCTTTCATATTTGCCCCAAGGAAATAAAAAAAAACATAAAGCAATGCAAGATATTTCCAGGCCAAAGATACCACTAGAACCAAAACTATAAAATCAAAGCACTATATGACAACTGGAGCGCCGATGCTATAAGCACAATACTGAAGAAGTTGATTTTGCCTTCAGCATCTCAGAAATGGTTGAATTGGCCATTTTGTGATGGGAACAAAACAACTTGATCGAAGGAGGGGAACTACTTCTTAATCTTGCAAAGAAAGAAAAGGAAGGAAGGAAGGAAAGAAAGAAAGAAAGAAAGAAAGAAAGAAGGGAGGAAGGAAGATGTATTTACAGAAGACTTTGTGATTTAATCTTCATTTGCATGTAAATGTTTAGGACAGTAACCTAATGACATCCCTGGGGATTAGACAATGACGGATAAATGTAGTTTTCTGGTTGCTTGAGAGTGACTTTTCAAAATAAGCCTAACTCATACTAGGCCTCATACAATGCCCATAGCATGAATACGGTATTCACCTGGTATTAATATTGAAGTACAGCAATTTAAAGCAAATTAAGACAATAAGGACAAACTTAACCGAATGCAATATCGTTTAGTGTGTTATAAAAACAGCTTTGTGAGTGTGGTTTGCAAGGAAGGAAGGAAGGAAGATAACAAGAAGGGAAAGAAAGGAATAGATAAGGAAGGGAAAGAGAAGAAAGAAAAACGTGGGGTTGCCTTTGAAGACTGCTCGGAAGCTTCAATTGGTCCAACGTGTGGCAGCCATGATACTAACAGGAGCGGCACTCAGGGAGCATACAACTCCTCTGTTGCGCCAGCTTCACTGGCTACCAATTTGCTACCGGGCACAATTCAAAGTGCTGGCGTTGGCCTATAAAGCCCTAAACAGTTTATTTATTTATTTATTTCCAGCACTTATACCCTGCCCTTCTCACCCCCGAGGGGGGACTCAGGGCGGCTTACACAACGAGGCACCATTCGGCGCCCATACAATTACAATTATACAAATGACAATCATAATGAAGCAGTTAAAAACAGTTATCATGGTTAAGACAACRATGCAAATTAACAATCAGTAACACAGCATATAGAACAATTCACGTGTTCAGCATTYGTCTTTCCGGGTTCCAGATTCCAATCCATTATACCTTTCCTAGATGGTATCCATTCTTTACCTGYTCATTRACCAAACGCTTGGTCCCACAACCAKGTTTTGAGTTTTCTCCTAAAGGAGAGAAGTGAGGTYGCTGTTCTGATTTCCCCRGGGAGCGAGTTCCACAGGCRGGGGGCYGCCAYCGAGAAGGCCCTGCTCCTCRTYCCCGCCAGCCTCACTTGTGACACTGGCGGGGKCGAGAGCAGGSCCCCCCCCCCGGCYGATCTTAAACTCYRGGGTGGGACGTAAAGGGAGATCCGTTCGGACAGATACACTGGGYCAGAGCCGTGTAGGGTTTTGTAGGTCAAAACCAGCACTTTGAATTGTGCTCGGAATTGGATTGGCAGCCAGTGGAGCTGACACAACGGGGGGTGGTGTGCTCCCTGTATGCAGCTCCGGTGAGCAATCTGGCTGCCTCTTGCGGTTCTGGCCCAAGTTACCTATCCGAACGCATCTCCGCCTATGAACCCACCAGGACTTTAAGATCTTCTGGGGAGGCCCTGTTCTTGATCCCGCCTGCTTCACAGGCACATTTGGGGGGGACGAGGGACAGGGCCTTCTCAGTGGTGGCCCCCCGGCTGTGGAATGCCCTTCCCATGGACATTAGATCGGCCCCCTCGTTAATGGTGTTTTGAAGAAAACTGAAAACCTGGCTATTTGAGCAGGCGTTCGGATAAGCAGTGCAATGAATATAATGAATATAGGAAACGGAATTACGGATGACGAGTTGGATCACGATTCTAGTTACGAGATGCTAATGTGTTGTTTATTGATGTGTAATTATTTAGT